GCGGGGGGGGGGGGGGGCGGCTTGTTTCACAACGTCGAAGCCAAGCGACGAAAACTCAACCCCGATGGCAAACACCGGGGGGGGACCTCGCATCCCTACAAAGCCGGGACGGGGGGGGGTAGAGAGGAAAGGGGGATAGACAAAGACAGAGACCAAGACAAGAAGAAAACGAGCCGTAATCGGGTCAAGGAGGACATGAGTGAAAGAAAGAGGCACCACAACGGCAAAGTGTGGAGAGGACATTCGGGGAAAAAAGTGGATAAATAGAAGATATGGGTAACACGCGCACAAGAAGCGGTGGCTCGGAAGCTCTCGCAAGCAGCTCCCTAGTCTAACGTTCACCTGGATGAGGCAAGCGATCGCGAACCGGCAGCCGACGCCGTCTTGCACGACGCGAGAGTCCCGGTTGCTCTGGAACGCTCCCCAGATTACGAAAACTGCCTCGAAAAAGAAGATGACGCCCCAGATGGAGAACGCCCACCTGTAATACGCACGTGAACAATCGCACACAAAAGAAGCAAGTTGAAAGACATAGAAGAAGAGTGTTCTTCAATCACTTGAATCTCGCAAAAAAAAAATTGGCTCCAGTATCAAAATCATGCGTCACGCACGAGCTGTGTACAGTATAACACCCGTTAAGTCTTCTCTCGTGACGATCACGACGCTTGGTGAAAGAAGCTAGTACTTCGAAGTAGCGTAGCGCATTGGCGCATGAACGCGCGCACGCCGACCATCAACTACGACTTGTCGTCACGCACCTTTGATCAGCATGAGACAGCCCGTCGACGAGACACGCAACCCCGTTGAGATTGCTCGCTGGGACTTCTTCTAGTTACAAGTGCTACCGGCTGGCCATTCCCTCAACCTCTTCTCCCCAAGACATACACAACGAAAGGACGCCATGTCTTTCCGTTCCTTTCCTTTCGCCTTTCCTTGCCTTTCCTTTCCTTTCCCGTGAGTGGGCGGAGCCCAAAAACTACTGCTTGCATTTCTCGTGCACTGCTGGTCGTCTTACATCTCTCTCTCTCTCTCTCTCTCTCTCTCTATTTCTCTCTCTCTCTTGCGGTGGAAGGGTGAATACCGCAAACAGATGTGTGCCCTATGCGGCATCAATTTCCCACAGACCAGAACCATGACGGTGCACCGAATCGATCCAGATTCTAGTTACCTCGGGAAATGCTACTCAGGAGCGAGGGGTACAGCAAGTGCTGTGCGAATGCAGCGGAGTAGCGCTCACCCGTCTGGCGTGACAAAAGTCGGGTTGTCGTCAGAAACTTCGGCATTCGTAGCCCCCCACCAGCCCAAGTTGCTCCCACCAACGACCACAGCGTTGATGAGGTAGGCCACCAGGTTGACGAGCCACAACATCCTTGAAGCTGAACCTGCGAAAAACAAGACGTACAATGTGACCCCAAAATTACAACCATGGGCTACTCTCGGAGATCGTTCGTTGGCTAGTTTCGTTCCAAGGATTTGTGCGGTGAAGGGTGTTCATGCACAAGGTGGCGGTGTCGTGCGCTAAGTGCCTTGACGTGGCCCTCTCTCCGCCACGAGAGCAAGGATAAGTATACCCGACAGATAAAAGAACTGCAGCAACCAGACACGGAGTTCCCAAGAGGCGCATCTTGCAGTCGTTCCATCAGCCCCCCAAAATCGATGTATGATAAAACTGTAAGAATTTTGAGGCCGCACACCTCTCGCTCCCGCTTCAGACTAAAAGAGCACGCGGGGCCTGACCCGACAAGCATCATTGAAACACTCCAGATGGCGAAGGGAAAAAGAAATGAACACCATTTCAAACTCATGTACATACTCTGTACCCCACGAAAAATGTCTTGCTTCAAGAATGCAACGATGGTTGAACTTGGTGTCGCAAGCGCCCGCGAAGAGGTGTATGCATGGCCATGTCTACAGCAGTACGTTTGTTTGGATCCGGCTAGTAGAAAGTCCCGCACAGCTCCTCCAGCGGACACGAGAAACCCCTGATCCTGGGGATTTTACCAGCCTCGTTCTTAGTACGAAGCTTTATGATAGATAATCCTTCAGCAGTGGTGTACCAAGCGCAGCAGGTAGCGTCTTCCTGTACGTCGAATCGTGTCTATTGCAAGTACTGCAGGTTCCAAGTCTTCGTGACACACCACCACAGCTTCGCCGTCGGCAGCAGCGTTGGTAACGAACGAGGCCTATTTTGCGAGACAAATGCGTGGGCTCCTGGAAATCTGGGAGAAAGAAGCAGAGGGAAGACTGCAAATAGCTATTTGCGCTCGCGGGGAATTTTCCTCGGGCAACGTTGGTAGGCGTGCTTCTGCAGACCAATCAATGAACGGCTGCATTTCTTGAGTGCGCTATACATGGAGCAGCAGTGTTTTTATTTCCTTGCAACGTTAGAATCTCAGCTGCGCTGACATTCAAGCGTTACATACCGCCTGAAACAGGTTTCGCAGGGTGGGACGGGTCGCTGTCGGTCCACACCACGCCAGGATGGGCGCTGCTGCACACCTTACCCCACCAACGTATGCGCGCGGTCGGTGATAGAGCTTTCTGCCACCAGTGGAAGGACTCGTGCTTCGGTGCCGACAAAGGTTCAGATGTGTCAATTTGATGCAGGGCCAGCTCTATTTTTTTTCTTTTTAATCCTAATATGACCCAACGAATCCACTGTACCACTTTTTTTTTTTTTCCATCAATATTCAATATGACGCAACGAATCCATCTCTATCGAAGAAAATAGTCTAAGATAGATTAGCAATGAATCCATAGCACACACACACCAACACACAGCAGCAGCAGTGCAACTCTACACTGCATCGGTCAGCCAACACCCAACACGATGTATTGTCGTGCAGCATGATCCACAACAAAATCCCGTCGGATAAACGGGGACTGGTCCCAGAAACGGTACAATTGTACTTCCAAAAGTTAAAACCGTCGACCTTTGTGGCTGCGTCTTTCTTCGGGACCCACCCAAGCACAGGGAGGGAGGCTCGTGTGGTGTCCGCCTACGCTGTGCTGGTAGGTATTGATTGTGCCAGGCACCCCGTTCATGTTGCACCGCGCCGTCGGGGTCTCGTCGGGTTGAGGACAAAAACTGGCTCTCAAAAAAAATCCGTGAGTCAGAAAGAACACACACACACAGAGAAGAGAGAGCCCGCAGAGTCCTTCGATGGAAACGAAGGCACGCGCAAATTATGTACCATCGCCATACACTCTTCGCATACAAGGGAACCGACCGAAAAATAAATCGCATGGAAGCAGCGGCGCCAGCTGCAGCAGCAGCAGCATGATGTACTCATTACCATGCATCGGTAATGTTTTGGTGGGGTGCGTGATGTCTCAAACAGCAGCAACAGCAGATTGTTTCGCCCCGCCGGTGTCTTGTATCCAATGATGGCAATTAATTGATCTTTTGCGCACAATTATTGGGACCGCAGCAGCCAGCGTTGCGGTAAGGGACGCCGGGGATGCGAAGCGTCGTAAAATAAACGCCTGCCCTGGGAGCCATGAGCTCTTTCCTCGTACAAGGCGGACACCTCCTGCTCACGACCCTATGTCGGGGGGGGTAGGCTGCTCGGGAAAGCAGTAGCCGCAGGTAGCATTTTTGTAACGGCGCAACAACATCATCTGCGCACAAGACTATCTTTGTTGTCTAACGGAACCTAACGACAGAATCCCAGCACCAAACCAAACGACGCGCGCATGTGCTACATACATCACGGCAGCGTGGGTTCCCGTCTTCTGTCACCATTAGACGGGGCATGCACAGCCGGAGTTGTCAACACACTGGGGTCTTTGACGCGCCGTACACCCCCTGGTTGCTGGCTTGCTTGCGCTATAATGGCACACCTGCCCCCGATATGTAGCACGCCAGAACCTTTCCACAAGGCGTGTTTTACAACAAACAGGCTGCTGCTTACCTGATGCTCGGTGATCGCTACGTCGATCGCAGGTGACTCGGGTCTGGACCTGTGAGTCAGCGTTCAGCGGTGTAGTCTCCAGACTTGCGCAGTATAGAGCACTTGAGTAGTTGAGAAGCAATTGTTGAGTGACGCCGACGGGGGTCGCCAAAACGCGAATTGCCAAGATTTAAAGAATTCCGGCGAAATCAGCCAATCACAGCACAGCACAATCAGAGAGCTCCGTGGTTGTAAATGGAGGTACCTATAAGCCAGCGCCGCACGGCCGTGCACAGCGTAGTGGACATTCAAAGTCAGTCGCCGGTCTCTGTAGCTCTCTCCCCGCCTTTCTATCTTGAGGAATCAACGGCGTTGGCCTTCGCCCACTACTCTTTCCTTCAGGCTCCTCGTCAATGGACGTGATCGGGAACCTGGTGGGCGGGCAGGTACATCATTCAGCAATATTTTTAGCACACCCTCCACTGCGAAATGCGGTACATTGAAGGATACAGGTACATGCACTAGCAGTGCCATCCCGCGGATGATACTACCTCTTGCATCGCTGTGTTGGTTACAAACAGGAACTGTATACTGCTATACTTGTGCGTTGACTGCTTGCTGTCTCAACGGCCGGCGTAGTTATGGCTTTTACATACAGCATTACAAGCAGGCCTACTCTGGTGTCCTCAACATGCAGTGTCAATGACACACACGCGTTTGCCCATAGTTACCTACATACATCACGTTGACTTCCCTCGTTTTCGTCGAAGACATGCGCCGCCGATGGCACAACGGCGTCCCGGAACCCGATAGCTCGTCTGGTGGACACCCTTATGGAAGGGTCAGCAGGGGCCGGCGGCCAGATGAAAGGCCCCTCGCGACGAGACTTCTGCCCACAACAGCAGCAGGGAGGGCCGATGATGCGTGCCCCCCCCCCGGGAGCTGCTGCCGCTGCCCATGCCCACGCACAAGCTCAAGCTCAAGGAATGATGGGTCCGATGGTGGGGCCTAAAGGCAACGCGAGCCATCCCGAGCAGGTGTGTTTTCTGCGAACGACGACGGGGGGGGGGGTCCGTGGCTATTCTCTACTCCTATACTGGGGAGAGTAGGTCCTCCCGAGGTCAGTTGTAGTTGTTGTCTCTTTAGCAACTCATGCAGACTTACAGCCTTCAGTCTGAGCCACGATCAAACTCATTTTGTTTAATACCGATAAATTAAAAAAACTTATCGGGATATTATTGTAATTATATATAATAATACTTTACTCGGCATCCCTCGATTACGTATCCCTTACCATTTTTGTCGGTGTCGTTCGCATCTCCTCCCTGTATTTTGCGCAAGGCTCAACTGAATTTCATCTCATACAGTATGACGACCCCCGCAAGGCTCCCCCTATGTGAAACACCGTCCACCCCCACGGCAGGGTCAACACCGGCACCCTCACGGCAACAACGACTGGGCGCACGAGTTCGAGGGCGGCAACCGCGGACCTCCGCCGCACATGATGATGCAAAACCACCGCCAAGACTTCGACGGTGCGTGGGTCGCAGCGGCGGCGGCTGGCTTGCACCGGGGCCCACCACCACCGCCGCCTCCTCCTCCTGGTGCCATGCTCGCCGCACGGGGGGGGGGCGGCGCCGCAGCTGGGTGGGGGAACGAGTTCCACGGACAACACGAGATGCGAGGGTCGATGATGCACCAGCCGCATCCGGCGGAGCTTGAGCACCTGGAGGCAGCCTGGGCGGCGCAGCAGGGAGGGTTCGGGTCTGAGCCCATGGCGTACGGACCTGATGGGGCGCCGCCGCCGCCGCCAGCAGCGGCGTTCGGGCCTGGGATGGCGCCGAGACCTGGGATGCACGGCCAGGTAACCACTGCTGGTACTACCGGCGGCGGCGTAGCGGGTAGCAGCGGCAGGAGTACGGCGTTTGGCGTTGAAAGCGATTTTTTGGGCGATAGTGGTGTAGGAGAGGGCGCCGCCGCCGCCGCCGCCGCCTCTGCTGATGTCACTGCCGAGAGTCTTGTTAGCGCCGGCGGCGACGAGGAGAAAGGGGTTGGGGAAGGGCAAGTCGGCGCTAGCGCGAGGTCGCTCGTCGGGCAGATGGCGGCGGACCCGGATGGGCGCTTCCGCGACAGCGAGCTGCTCCGATTCGCGACCCGCTTGGGCACGGGGGGGTTGCGGGTCTCTGGCGATAAGGTGCCCATTTGCTTTCTTTGACGCCCTCCTTGAGAAGCGTTCTGCGGTTCCTTCTGGATGAGCCTGGTACGATCGAGGTTCTTCGTTCGGGACTTGAAGTTGAAGAGGAATATTTCGGCCCGTTGTTGCACCTTCGACGCATCGGGTGTTTTCTCTTGTAGTGACCGGAACTGCTCCTGGCGTTGCGCTTTGTCTCTGCTCGCGGCGCAGGTGGTTCCGGGCTCCGGGGAGGCGCAGGGTCTCGATGAAGCCTGGGCAGGGGGGGCATCGTCGCAGCAACAGCACCAGCAGGCCGGCGATCCGGCGGTGGCGGCGGCAGCAACAAAGGCGGATTTTCAAGTTGCGTACGCGGAGAATGAAGCCGCCGAGCAGCAGCAGCAGCAGGTGCGGAGCACAAGAGGATGGTACATGTATGCTTTCTGTGAGTGTATTTATGCTTCCTAAGAATGCGAATGGGGAACGTGATGGCGGTATTAGTCTCGTGTATGTTCTCGTAGGCTTCGTTTTCTGGTTGACCTCTATGGGAAGCGTGTGCCCTCCACATATATGTAGAAGTAGGTGCTCTGTATCGTGGTGTCAGCGGAACGAACGTGCGTCCGTGGAGTGCTCGCCTAATGTTCGACACATCAGCAGCAGCTCCACGCAAGGAGCACCCGCCCATTGTCGAGATCCGCACACACACCGCTCATATGCTAGATAGCGCCAGTGCCTCCCGCCCAAATCCCCGACCCCGGAACGGTGGCACTGGTTGCAATCGTTTTGCTGTATCATAGGGGCCGCTGGTGGGCTCCTTCAGCGACGCGTGGAACGGCCTCGATTCCGGAGTGGGGGTCCGCGAAGAGCCCTCCTTGAAACCGTCGGCGGCGGAACTGCTGTCCTCGGCCCAGGAGGAGGCGTGGTCCGACGGGAAGACCGGCCTGGCCCCGTGAGTTCCAGAGTTGTGGAGCTTCGGTTGTAGTGTTGTGGGTGGCGGACATGGAGGACCGAAGAGCTTCTAGCTGCCGGTGCCAAACGTTATGTTCGTACCGTTACCGACTCGTCTCCCCTCGAGATTCTTGCAGACAGAGGTCACGCGACCATCTTCAAGGCCTTCCTTGAGAGTGTTGGATTCAATGAATCCGTGTGGGTATGTACGTGCACGAGAGAGCTAATATTAGGACGATCTGAGAGTGGGTCCGAGGACCGTTGGAGCTCGGCAGTAGGCCACGAACGATTGAATGTCGACCCCGCCTTTCACGGTGCTGGAATCTCTCTCTCTCTCTCTCTCTCTCTCTCTCTCTCTCTCTTCTTCTTCTTGCCCAACACAACATGAAATCGAGTCCTTTCTGCGATTGGCAACGAGCTAAAGTTTACCCGGATTTGTGACCCCGCAGCCATGAATGAGAGAGGCCTATTAATATGTGTTGGTGTCTTTTTAAGGGCCACCGGCACTGGAAAAGACAGACTGTTTTTTATTTTGCTTCAAGTTTCAGCTTCGGAAAAAGGTTGGGGGCGTTAGAACACGAAGCATGTTGCAGCGTGTTGGTGCTGAAGGGGTTTCGCCTTGTCGTCAGCGATTCCCCCCCCCCCCCTCATCCTCCGCGATAATTGGGGATAGATGGTGGGCACAAGAGGCCCTAGAGGACGGGGATAAGATGTGCAAGAAATTTTTATGGAGTTTGTGGCAGACACGTAAAGAGCTCCCAAATGTTGGTGGTGTCTCTAGTAGGTGTAGGAACGGTGCTCCGTCTCGAAAGGGACGCGTGGTCAATGGTCAAATGACTACGGCAAGCAACAAATGAGTACGCCCCCCCCCCTCATCCTCCTAGAATTCGCAACACTGTGGTCGTTGTTGTTATTGTTGCCTTCGTGTTCAAGAAAACGTGCCGGTCTCTGCTCAGATACCTTCTTATCAACCGTACTGGCCCCAACTGATGCAGACGCTTTCCGTGGTCACAGGCCAACTCCCCCAAAGGACGTACGTACGTACGTACGTACGTACACTTATAGCATAGAATAGCACACTTCTGTAGGACACCAAAGGAACACTCCACAATGCCAATCTAGCTATTTCACACGCCCTCCCTCTCCGACCTTTTCCGACAGCGACTTCCAGGAGAAAATGGAAGCTGCGTGGAGAGAAGTGGAGCAAGGGGGGGTCGGCGCGGGGGCTGGGGTCGGCGACCCAGACCTCCAGGCGATTTGGGAGGAGTCAGACGACGACGCCGCGGGAGTTGAGACTCTGGATGGCGTTTGGAGTCGAACGGCAGCGACTCTGGAGGCCGGCGAAGGTGCGGCACGGCAGCGCGTGGATGCCTGCCTCGCGTGAGCAGAGAATTTGGGGGGGGTGGGGGAGGGGGGGGGAATGAGTTCCCAGAGGGTACGCGCGTGGACGTCTTCTGCCGGACAGTGGGCTTCGAGGGGAATGAAGGATGGAAGGCATTTCGGGGGAAATGCAGCTTTGGGTATCGTTATCAGAGTATCAGTTATCAGGGCGTGGATGACCGCCGGTTAATCGTTGGCAGGACTTGAGAGCACCCGAAGTCTTTGGTGTTTTTCGGAGGAGAGCCCGGCGGTACATAGCTCGGCAGCCTTCCCCCGTATACAATCCTTTCTGATTCAGACGGGAACCTCGCCGATGGACCATAATAGTCAGCATTTCCAAAGCCAACGTTGTCCACAACACGATTTATCTGCATATACAAGAGAAGGCCCCGGTATTGTTATTACGATTTATTTGTATGTACAAAAGAAGACCTCGGTTGTGTGTTTTGTAGGGAACTTGGAGGCCCCCTACGAGCTCAGCGCGGAGAACCGGTTCAACGACGTCGACAGCCCGTTCGAGGAAGGGGTTAGGCTGTTCGAGGAGGGTCAGATAGCGGACGCGGCGCTGTGCTTCGAGGCGGAGATCGCGAGGAATCCCGACAACTCACAGGTAAGTGTCGTTCGTTCCTGACATTATTTTTGGTTCTTGTGCTTCCGTGTGTGTGTGCGTCTGAGAAAGTGTGTTTCGTAATTGTCGTCGGTGGACTGCTGTTTTGTGTCGAATTGCTCGTGAGTGCAGCCGGAAAATTGTCCTTGTGCGGAAACAGCAAAAGCACCCGACTGGCCTCCACAATACGTGCTCTACAACTGGAACCATTTTGTTGGCTTTCGTGTGCGGGCTCGCGAGGCAGGCGCCGCGGGTGGTGCATACCGAGTCATATTTCAGCCGAGCGTAGAGAACAAACCGTCAAATTTATCAATGAACGAAGCATATTTTTCTTTGCGGCACACGGCAGCACTTGGTGCCACAAAATACATATAGAGAAGAACCTACGTTCGGCAAATGCGTTCCATGCATGCTTGAGACTGGAGCGTCTCTTCTGCCTGACCGGATATCACTCGGATGTTGATTCGCTCTCTTGCCGTTGCTGCTGCTGCTATGGATGCTGTTGCTGCCGCTGTTGCTGCTGCCGCTGTTGCTGCTGCTATGTTGCTGCTACTCCTACTGTTGCTGTGTTTTCTTTCTTCACCCCGTGTTCCGCATCGTTTTTTCCTCATCGTTTTTTCAATGGTACAAACCCGTCGCCTGTTTTTGCGCTTCTATGGCGTTTTATCGTTTGGTGTTGTTACTACCCCACTCGCGTTTTGTTGCGGTGCAGGCGTGGTTCATGCTGGGACAGAGCCATGCGGAGAATGACCAAGACCGATTAGCCATCTCGTGCCTCGAAAAGGCGGTGGAGATCGACCCGTACAGCCTAGATGCCTTGCTGGTGAGCGTCCCTTTAACTCCATCGCACGGGTTTTGCCTGTGAGCTTCCCGAACATGAACTACGCATGCGTTTCATGCTTGCATTGTTGTTCATATATCCCCGTTTGTTATCGTCCTATTCCGTAGTGTTGTGCACACCCGAACGTGCACTGCAGACGTGTATGGTGCTTGCAATTGTTATGCATAATTCTCCGTGTTCATATCATCCTTCGCCGTTTTGTTGTGCACGGACCCCCGTTCAGTATGATCATTTCTTCTTTGCTCATTCATCAGGCCTGGCAGTTCGTCTTGTCGGCTCAATCAAGTATTTGCGGAGTTTCTTGAGCTTGTCTTTTTGGCGATGTGTCCAGGGAGATCATTCCTGCAAATTCTTTGGTACCCAGGGTAATTATCCATGGTTCACTTCACTTCCCACCCTATCCCATCTACGTGCCCCCCGCGATGTTTTTTTCGTATAGTTTCGGTTTTATCCGGCCCCACATTTGCATACATCTCGCACGATCCAGCTGAACGCATCTTATTTAGCACAGAACATGTCATTTGTGTCGGCAAGCCGCCCACATTCCGTCCATATTCCATCCCATCCCATCCCATCCCACTCGATTCCGTCCCGAAACAGGCGCTCGGGACGAGTTACGTCAACGAGCTAGACTCTCAGAAAGCGTTGACAAATCTTAAGGCATGGGTTGAGCACAACCCGAAGTACTCGGGCCTCGAGATAGCGGTGGACGAGTACAGCGACGGCACTCTGATGGACGAGGTATGTATGCACGTGACGTATGCACATGGCACATGATTAGCAAGGCTACCAGCACCGCTATCGTATCTCTCCCATCATCATCATGCGGCATCGATGATAGGGGATTGGATCATTTTTTGTTTGCTTCGTTCTGTTGCGACAGTTGCTGTGCAACATGCCATACGCGGGATGCAAGTATTGTGCGCGTGCGTGCGTACCCGCGGACGTGCGTATTGTAAGAGCATAAGTTTATTTGTTGTTTCTTGCGCATGTGGGTGTATGTGTGCCAGCCGCGACACCCTTTCTTACCCCCCTCCAAGACCTCGCTTCCGCGTGTGGGGCATCCACCCCCCACCCCGCGTTCCTCGAACCAACGGGGCCCCTTTTGATGTACCGTGGTACCTCTCGCTTGTCATGCCATTTCCCCATTAGGTGATGCAGTTGATGATCCACCGTGGTACCTCTTTCGTCATGTCATTCCCTCATTAGGTGATGCAGTTGATGCTGCAGGCGCAACGGTGGGACGCGACGGACGCGGACGCTCACGTGGTTCTGGGGGTGCTGTACAACGTGTCTCGCGACTACGACAGCGCCGCGGAGGCGTTCCGAAGAGCCATCGAGGCCAGGCCGAACGACCACTCGCTCTGGAACAAGGTGATATAATTGGCTCCTTGTTGCATCTACACATGTTGTTATGTCTTGTCAAGTCTTCTGTGTGCTGCGGCCTGGTATTGTATCTACGTGGTATGTATGTCTTTCTCAAGTCGTATGTGTTTCTGCCACACTGTTTCCTGGAACAAACGGGATCTGCGGGGGGGGGGGGGGGGATGCCGCGAAGGAGTGTTTCGATTTTTCGCATGGCTTGTAAGGATAGTGCGGTTATTGATGGCGATGGCGTCGAGGGCGTGTGCCGGAGGACGGCTGCTTCTGACGGCGATGGAGGCTAGACGCGGAGCAATCGGTGGAGGCTTGTCTAGTCTCGGGAGGGGGGTGGGGTTCGGTTCCTGGAGTGGGGGCGTCATCTGTGGTGGTGCTGCTGAAGTGTTCTGGTGCCCTCATGTCTTGCTGTGCTTGCTTGTCCGGTAGAGCCGATGCCACAGGCGAGCATCAGCATCCGATTCGAATGTGCGCTTGGCCCCAAAACCTTTGGCCGCACGTCGCCTTCGCAACCGGCTACTTTCGCAAGACAACGGACTTCGTTCATGCACGCGCCCTTCTCGTCGTGTCTCTTCATTTGTTTTTTTTTTTAAGCTCGGAGCAACCTTGGCCAACAGCCGACAGAGCGAAGCCGCCCTCCCCGCGTACCGCCGTGCAATCGCTAGCAAACCCGGGTACGCACGGGCGTGGCTGAACATGGGCATAAGCCAGGTATAAAGCGAAAGAAGTTGAGTGTACGGATGTGCCGACTAACCCACGTTGCGGTGTTGTGACTCATAGACCCCTTCAACAGCAGTTCACGAGGGAGTCGCTTTCCATCATGTGTCTTGTCAGTTCGTGTGGTGAGTACACTTGGTACTGCTGTCCCAGGCGACATCTTGTATGTTGTACACTGGGTTTTATCAGGAAAAGAGCCCAAGCCGTACAAAAATATTCTTGAGAGGTTTTGACGTGTGTCTTTGCTGCCTTGCGAGCTCGCTCGGCCATGAAAGACATGGCCCGTTTTTTTCATCGCGTGTGCTGGTCGGTCCTTTTGCTGTGTCGCGATTTCCACGTGTTTTGCTCCGCAGGCGAATCTCAACCGTTACGAGGAAGCCTCGTCGTGCTACCTACAGGCCTTGAGGTTAAATCCAGAAGCGAAACACATATGGTGAGTTCAGTACCACGCAACACGCCGTGTTTCTACAGGAACGCCCACGTGTACACTCTATTTTAGTTGCTTGCTTGTGGGCCCCAAGACTTTTGTTTGCCCTTCTTGACTTGTCTGGGAACTTTTTTAGAAAGTAAGCATAACCTCACGGAAAGACCACCCGTTCGAGACAATACCACAGTCGAAGGGGATATGTTAAAGTCTTTACAGTGAGTGTTAGTGTTTCCTCTGGCATGTAGCGTCGCTCATCGCTGCGACAACATGGATCGATGTAAGAGCAGCACCGGCGGGGTTCATGCATCAGCGCCCCGGCCCAGCATCTCTCACTTCTGTCGTGTTCCCTTGCATCCATTTTCAATACCGACAGCCCCAGTCACGCCGTAAAACACCCTCCCCCATTCTCCCTACCCCTCTCGCACCTGGCCCTACCCTAACCTCTTCCTGTCCGAAAACGCGGGGTAACCTCTCACTGGTTGGCATGTTTTTTTTTTCCTTCTCGCCTTTGGATGGGGGGTTCGTGTATGTTCTCTTGGGGGTGGGGGTGGCGGTTTGAAATACAGCCCTCCATGCCGCTCTAGCCTGGGTGGCCATGGTGCCCGCGAAGTTGGTCGTAGATCAAGCAGGTTCTCCACAAGGCCTACCCGCCGACGCGAGTCTAACACACAAGGGGGGCTAGCGACGACGAGGACGAGCAGCTTGGGAATGAGCGAGCTGTGACGAGCGTCGCTTCCGCGCAAGCGTATTTTTTGTCGGTGGATGCATCGTCGCCGTCGTCGCGGTTTTTGATGGATCACTTGTTGTTGTGCGCGTTTTTTTTTTTTTTGGGGGGGGGGGTGATTTTCGCTTGTATGATGCATCCGTCCCGGCTGCCCCGTGTGCGTGCCTGTCGCGCGGCTGCCTCGTGTGTTTACGTTGTGTGCTTGCGCCGCCTGCGCCTGTGTGACCTTGGCTGGTGAATGAATCGGTTACCGCGGACAGGTCGTACCTGCGCATCGTCTTCAGCAGCATGGAGCGCTTCGACCTGGTGCAGAAAGCAGGCAAGGAGGACGCCGGGCTGTTCGAAGACGACTTTGACTTGGCCCTGCCCACCCCGCCGCCGTAGGCTCAGGCAACACGCTGCTGGTAGATAGATAGCTAGTTTCTTGAACGGGTACGGGTCGGTGGTGAACGCAAGCGGTTGAGAGGGTACGCCCAAGCTGACTGAGATTGTTATCTAGTCCTACTACCGCCCCCCCCCCCGTAACCACGTCTCATTCAGTGGTGGTTCCGTTGTTGTTGGTAGAAACAGCCGGTGTTGTTGACGGTGCAAAGTTGGTGCTGTTGTGTGTACGATTGCAGGGATATAACGACGGTGCGATTGCGATCTCGAGGATTGTGGGGCACATGTCGACGCCGTCGGCTATAGGCTGGCCCTGGCCTGTGCTTCACGTAAGGCGCGTGCATCGTGTTTCTTGCAATTGCATCCCGAGCCGTGGACAGGGGAAAAGCAGAGGGGACGTAAATGCACAGCTTGGTGTGTTTTTTGTTTCGTGGCGTCCATGGTGCCGTGCCACACACGGGATTTCCGACCTTGAAGCCTCTTCCCAAATACCGAGAAAGGAGTCTCGAAAGCACGGGTGGAGCAAACAATAATTCATGTGCAACAGCTATTTTAGCGCTGCGCCCACGCCGTCACTATCAGTGCCGTCCTCTTCAAACGTCCCCGAACGCGGTCCGTGGACACGGCAACGCCATCACGCCCCCACCCACCACTCTCTTCCTGCCGTCGACCCGTCCATCCACATCACACGCGGGTGTATTGTTGTGTTCTCTTGTGGAAGACAGACGACAGGTAGATTATACAGACAGATCACACACGAGATCGTCGGGTCGACAAGTCGATCGACATGAGATTAATGAAGAGAGACGGACAGCACTACCGCAGCGGTGGATCGCTGCTGCCGCCGACGGCCGTCGACGAAGCTTCCCCCCCTGGACCCCTGCTTCTATCTCCTACAGCAGCAGTCTCGAGAGACGACAACGGCTGCGGCACCAGAGACACGGCAGCAAGGGACAACCCCTCCACAACGTCGGCTGTTGCCTCTGATGGTGGTGGTGCTCCTGGTACCGTTACGGCAGGTGCGTTTCCCGCAACCGCGATCGATTCCTCCGCACCACCAAGGGCATCATCATCTGCGTGGCCCCCTGCTCCCGTTACGGCCGCCTTCCCAAGGGCCGCTTCTCTCCCTGGCGAGCAACAACATTCGTCTCCACTCTCCTTTTTACTGGCCTCCTCTGTGATAGCAGCAGCAGCAACAGCAGCATTTGCGCCGATTTCTTGCTTCTTCCCTCGCTCTCCACCAGGGTGCTGGTCCTCGCCGCCGCTACCCCTGCCGTTAGCGCTACTGCTGCTGCTGCTGTTGGTCCGACGCAGCTTGCACACGAGCACCTCCGAGTTCTCGTGGTCGTAGGCCTTGTCCATGTGCCTCCTGGGCGCTTGCCTCACGGCGAAGTCCTCGCTCAGCCGAGCCCTAGAACAAAAAAGAAGAAACAATTAGAGTGAATCCTTCCCGCTAGATTAAACCTGCCCGGCATCTAACACTGCCACTCGATGTGCGGGAATCGGACTGTTGAGATGGAGTGTACCAGAGGTTTCCTCATTTCGAGGAGTTCCGGTATGCCGTCTGCCCGGTTATTAGAAAGCATGTACAACATCACGGTTTTCTAGTGAGAAACCGCCGGAGGCATTCCTTCCGATAAAACCCGCCTACACTTGGCGTAAGTGACTTCTTCGCGCTCGGTTTGCTAGTGAGAAACCGCCCGCGGCATTATTCCTTCCTTCCTTCCTTCCTTCCTTCCGATCAAAACCCGCCTACGCTTGGCGAAAGTAACTTTAGCCTCTGGCGCTCGGTTTTCTAGTGAGAAACCGCCGGATGCATCTCTTCCGATAAAACCCGCCTACCCTTGGCGATGTAACTTCTTCGCCGGAACAAAACCCACCTAAACTTGGCGTACGTGACTTCCTCGCGCTTCTCGCTCGCCACGAGCACGGTCGTCCCGCGGCCGGAGCACCGCGCCATCGACCAGACGAGGGACTCCACAAGGCGTTCGACGTACACGCAGTCGCAGGCGACGATGTAGTCGTACGGCGGGGAGAGCCCGTCCAGCGGCTTTCCCCAGTCATACTCGAGCACCTTTTTATTGTTTTTTTTTGTGGTTTAGTGTCATTTTGGCGCGTTACGAGACGCTGGGTGGTGTGATTGGGAGGGAGGGAGCACCACGTGGTCTTCTTGACGCGCAGCCAAAAGCAACCTGAATCGGGGGAAAGAGGATGGCGGCGAGGACGCTGCGGAAACTGCTGTCAATACACGATGTACATAGCACCTGAGACGTACGTACGCATGTCAGTATCTTCCCTCGGCATCTAGTGGCGGGACAAATTCTTCGGCCTGACCCCATACCACAAGCCCTGCCACGAAGCGGCCACGCCCTCAAAAAAAGCTTGAATCAACGTCCACCGGCAACATGAGGTTCCCGACCGCCTCTCCCAAAATCTCGACGTCGAACCCCATCTCCTTTCTCTCACTTTTGCTTTCGGGCGTGCGGGGGGGGCGGCGGCTACGGATTTTCCCCCTTTGCCTCTGCCGCGTGTTTCGTCCGATGCGGTAGTCGTGCCGGCAGCATCTTCCACCGCTTGCCCGCCAAGGTTCATGGTGACGTTTCGTTGGAGGAGAGGGACCACCTCAATCTATACGGTGGGTAGTGGAGTGCCCGCCCAGTCCGTATCGCAAACAAACCGCGCGATAGAAAGAGCAAGAAAGAGTAAGTGCAATAGCAACAACCAGACTCACTCGAGTCAAGTCCGTCAAGTCCATGGTGCGCGATTGTAAACACGGAGTGCTTTCCTTCTTTAACGACAGCCTTGCAGAGGCCTGCCTGTTTAAGATGGGGAGAGCATATATATGCTGGAGCATCCGAATCAGGGCGGCGGCTACACGCTTCGCTAAACCAGGACGGTGAAACAAAAGGCTTTCGTTCGCTTCCCGGCCTTAACCTTAACCTAGAACCAACCCGTTGTAGTGTTGGAGGGATGCTCTCGCCTGAAAAACCTTGCGCCGCCGTTGTCGTTGCTTGCGACAACCAACCTCGTTTCGCAAAACGTGATGAAAACGAATTTGGTGTCGCCACTTACTATACGTTCGTGCCCGTGCTCTGCAAAAGTGGCCCACACGCTTGTGAAAGACAAAAAAAAAAACGTGCGGCAATGAACGGACCATGTAACGTGGAGCCATGCCCCAGGCCTGGGCGCGTCATGACATCACGACAGCAGGCAAGCGAGTGAAGTGCCAGGTACAGCAGTATGTCATGGGAAGCCTACGCATTTCTCCTTTCTTAGTCAATGCTCAGTTAGTGACGTACTTGTGGTATCTCATGTCTCATGTCTCGGTTGGAACGTGAGCGTACGCCACGAGCTGGGATACACACAATTCCCATAATACTGCAGTACTGCTGTAGTATAGTATCTCACCAAGTCGGTGAAAGTCACGTGCGCACCCTGCAGGGCGAAGTACATCCCCGCCAAGCCGCACCCCGCGCCCAGCTCCAGGACCCTCTTGCCCTCCAGCCTTCGCCGGGAGTACAGCTGCGGGTTGCGCTCCATGTAGCGGACTAGAATCACGCTCGCGTCCCAGATCGTGGTGCCGAGGTTGTCAGAAGTGGGGTCCTTTTTTTGTGTGTTTTTGAGCGAAAAATGTGCAGAGGGCGCGAGCCACGGTCGGAATCCTAATCCTGCTCGGGCCAATGCTGGTCGGTTCCTTTTCTACATATCGCAGTTTCTCTTGAACTAGGACACGGTAGAGGGCGTCCGGGTGGGTATGCCAGAAGAAAGAGCACCTTGTGGGGATCGCGGGACTTGTGAGACCCATGTACATTGGCACGCATCACCAAGCGTCAAGCAAACCCAGCGGACAAGATTTTACTATTTACTACGTTGCTTAGAGCTCGTATTTTATTTTCGCCTGGGACTCAGGCAACATATGCAAGACTGCCCCTCTTCGTGCGACCTCTGCGTAGCTGTACATCCTTTGTGTGTGTATTTATTTTTCCTAAATACGTTTACATACTTTTGAGTGGTCCAACCGACTGCTCCAAAAACAGCAGACCGATTATCACATACGAATGCTGTATATTCGATCATAAAATAGTATCAAGAATACGAAGGCTCCACCGGGTCTCTCAGATTCCACGAGCCCGTTATTATGCATTTCGTCTTTTCGTTTTGGACGCATATAGTAGTGTCGTCGCGTTGTCGCGTGTGTGTTTCGTGTTTTTCGAATCATTGATAAAATGGTTTGAAAGTTTAAACGTTTGAATCGGCGGATCTGCGGATCGCTCACAAAAAAAGCTGACAGTCCCGCCACTTCGTTCGACATTCTATTTTCAAACCCTCCCCACTGAGCAACAGCGGCAGTCGCGCGAGCAGTATCTCATGGATGTGAACTGGTCCAGTACTCTTCTCTGGAGAGGGACAACGCAACCACAACCAGCACTAGGGGAGGTCGATAACAAATGTGGAGACACAGAGAGCAGACGACCCACACACGCGGGGGGCACACGAAAGAAAGATGCTTTCGGACGCTCCCGTAGAGGTGGCGTGTGGCATACCTGGGCGATGTTGAGCTGTGTGCCACAGACCTCGATGGGAACGACGTGTGAGTGATGGGTATTCCATCGTTGAAACTCCCCCATCGATCGCCACACACTCCGACAAGAGGAGAGTAAACACAACAACAAAGCCAGTGGCGATTTCGAAGGGGGGACGCAGATGATGGCGTTTTCAGAAGTAGTAGCAGGGGATGGGGGTAACAGGTGTCTTTGTGCAGGCCAGCCGCAGCCACACAATTTTAAATGTCCTGTTGTACACGAGATGGAGAGTGCCGATCCACACACGTTATTCGAGAGACGCCTTTATGCATGCGCATTCAGGCTACATGTATAGTATGCATGTGTCGCTTTGTTTGTGGCCGCAGTACATATATATGTAGATAAGAAACACTTTCTTTCGTTCAGAACGGAGTAGCCGGCCCCGGTATCGGTTGGAGAAGGAAAAATGCCTCATGTTGAAGGCCCCACAAACGCTTGAGTGGACACACACGAACAATCTTTACCGCGACCCCCCCCCCCAGTGTTCTCACTCCATCGGGTCAGGCAGCACCGGCAGGGCACGGTGTCGAGACTGACGCCATTCGTGCTGCCCTCAACTATCCCTCTGTTGGATGTCGGCGTTACCACGACCGACCCAGTTGGTGATGGGCACACGCCGCTCTGGGGGGGCTAGTACATCGTCGAGTCAAGCGCAATGCCCATGCCGGTATTTGGTTTATCAAGCGCGGTCCGCGTTTGTTTCCCGGAGTATCATCGGCGTTGAACCTACGAGATGGGAGGGAGGACTATGGCCGGATACTCGAGCGTTGTCGCGGTTCGCTGAAGGCGGTTTAACGGCTTTGAAGCCACCATCTGCCGCTCCTTCTGCTGAGCGCTCTTCTTCTTGGCGCAAGGTACAGCCCGATCGACTACAAGCCGTTCAAAGACGACCCAAGACAAGACAAGACATACACGTGGCGAAAATTAAAAAATAACACACTATCACTCAAAAGACAACTCCTCCAAGTCAATCCCCAAAAACAAAAACAAAAAAAACACCAACAGAGAGAAAAGCAACAAAAACAACCGCGTGCTCTCAAGTCTAAAAACAAACAACAGCAGCAAGCTACGCACGTGTAGCACCGGAAAGCAGAAAATAAAACAAAACCTTGTGGATACGACGTTGCCATACTTTTCCTTAACTTGTCACCAACATTACGCCACTTTTCTCGCGAACACATCACCCCCCCCTTGGGGTTGGGATGGACATGTACACCGATCGAGTTCAGCGGCCAATGAGCACCCTCGGCGGGGGGTTAAAACTCGCGGCACGCCGAGGGAATGCTCGCCTCTTCTCCGCAGCGCCCGTGTCGCCTTCTCCCGCCGGCCCAGCGGATACCTTTCCCACCCCTTTGGCTTTAATGCCACCGATGGATCCCCACCAACATGAGCTAGCTGCAGACCATGCATGCATGCTGGGGGGGGGGGGGGTCTCTCCCATCTCTCCGCCTCCAAAAAAACGCACACGCACAACCCTTGTCACGGCACGACGATATGGTACCGGCTTTACTCCTGGAAACACACTGCGGTGGTCCTACGTACACCTAAATCTCCCTCTCTTGACCCTGTTGCTCAGTGTTGCTCAGCGTCGTCGCCTCTTCGCTGCGGGCTTGGGCGCGGGCTGATCCCCTTCCCAGTCCCTCTTGTTGGTGTCGTCGCGCCGGGCCCGCTTCTCGAGCTCGTCCCAGTCGAGCCCCTCCTCCTCCAGGTCGTCGTCTCCCTTCAGCAGCAGCAGCATTAGCATTAGCATTAGCAGCAGAAGCAGCAGCAGATTTGCAGCGGGTTTGGAGTACGCGATAAGAAATGACAGCAGAAAACGTGGTGACGGTTTCGTACAGTACAGGCGAACGACATGCCTCTCGCGTACAGTATGCAAGCCTGACATGTAGTGTGTGTGTAGGAGCCAGCCATGTAGCAGTATACGCATCGCTTGGTATGCAGCGGTAGCCAGCCATGAAGCAGTGCGCAAAAACGGAACGGGGGGCAAACGTGTGCCACAAAGTTCGCCCAGAGTCCACGGTTTTCTCGCCCGTTTCGAACAATAGCTGTTTCCTCCACCCTGCGTGTGGCGTATACTAAGAGGAGCTGTACCATGCTTCTAGATGAGCCGTACAAAGTGGGCACAAGGTCGAGAACACAGCAACGGCAACGACGCCACAATTTGCCAGCAACAGCCAACGGAACACGCACATCGCGGCCACCACTACAGCCCTTAAATCAACCACACACATGTGCCCTCCATTCGACCACGTTTTCCGTGCGGTGGTTGTACATTGGCCCCCCATCCGACCACATTTTCCGTGCGGTGGCTGCTCCATGTACGTGTGCCCACCATCCGACCAAATTTTCCGTGAGGTGGCTGCTCTATGTACATGTGCCCTCCATCCAAACACATTTTCCGTGAGCTGGCTGCTCTGTACGCAGTTTTGTACATGGTACCTCTTCGTCGCTGTCGTCCTCAGACTCCTCGTCCTCCGAGTCGTCGCTGTCGTCGTCGTCGCTGCTCTCCTCCTCGGAGCTGTCCGCAGTGAAGTCGCTCTCCCCGTCGTTCTCCTCGTCCTCGTCCTCGGAGTCCTCCTCTCGAAGACGGGCCCTGCATTGCAGTCAAGTGGAAGGATCAAAAGCATTAGCATCAGCGTCATCATCAGCAGCAGCAGTAGTCAGCAGCAGTAGTCAGCAGCAGCAGCAGCAGCCAGCCAGCCAGGGACGGTAGCAACGACCACGCGAAGAAAGTAGCTGATGCCGCTGTCGGTATTCAAAACACAAATCTGAAATTTCACCCGTTTGGCGGAAAATCTATCAAGTGTGATTCGTTCTCCATGAAACATACAATGAGAAAAATGGGGGCGGGGAAAGGAGTGCTCACCATCCTGCGGGCTTTCTCTCTCCATCTTCGTAAGTGTCGAGGTAGAAGCGGTTGTCACCCCTGATATCTGCCATCATGGCCTTCCAGTTCCACGGCTTCGCGGTCTGCGTGTACGTGATCTCGCACTCCTCCAGCCACTGCATGATCTTGTTCAGATACTTGTTCTGGCAACAACCGCGACAACAAAAAAAAAAAAAGAAGAGAAAAACAAGAAGGGGACAGGGGTCAAAAACGGGCCTGAGCGCAAGGAAGCATGCGTGGTGAAGCGACACATTTAACTGTTGCGCGGATCCGGGAAGGCATGGGAGAACAGAGGAAGCCTCAAGCACGAGAGCCTTCCCCTAACAGAAAACGATTCTCTCGGGGAACATGTCGTGCGCACTCTAAGTTTCTTCTAGGCATGTCCGTCGGAAGTGCAGAAAATGTGCAACGGGATGAGCAGGGAAAAGTGTGTGTGGGGGGGGGGGCACAGCCATTGACCTCGAAGGAAGACACTGGCCTTCCCAGTCCGACCTTCCACCGCGCGACGTACTCACAGCACATATGTCCGGGGGAGGGGGGGTCTTGTTTGACAACTAACTGACCTGGTCAATCATGTCGATCGTCTTCGGCTCGCCACCGTTCTCCAACATGTTCTCCTGTAAAAAAGCAATAACAACATGGGCAACACTTTGAGTATGGCCAAGCATTGCCGAGCACCAACACGTCTGTAGCGTACGACTCATGAAAATATTAGAGCTGCAATCGCGACCGCAAACGCATCAACCGAAGCACCCAAGAGGTTTCGCTGTGCGGCACCCATCGATGACATCTGTGGTAGTCGATTCGCGCCCTCCGTGGGCTGGGCAATAAGAAGCAAGCAAAATTGTTTCACACACACACAGAACAGTAACAAAGAATCTACATTCCGTACAACCAAAAAGTGTTTCAAGAGCGCGGTCAATCCTACTGGCGCAAACACACACACTCGAGCAGACCACATTCAACCACGGCAAGCAGGCACACATTCACACGCACACGCACACGCACACCTTCATGATGATCTTCATGTCGCACGTCTTGGAGCTGGAGAAGACACGCTCGAAGTGCACGTGCTCGATCTCGTTGAGCGGCACAACGAAGAACGGGAAGTCCGTCACGTTGATCAGCGCGTACGTCGTCGGCTGGATGAATCCCATCTGTCGTCACAGCAAAAACAAAAAAAAGGGAACCACCCAAGGAGTTGGTTGTGGATAACGGGGCCTCGCTACAAGTTTGTCATTAATTTTCTGCGTACAGCAGTACTCCTGAAAGGACTTGAGAGAGCAAGTTCAGACATGTTCATGCGCTTATTATCCCTGGCTGTTGCTTTCAGCTGTTACGTAAATGCCAACGCTTGCGGGATCCGTTCCTCTCAAAAAGTACCGACCCCCTGCCGTTTTGATTGCCACTTCCTGAGTCGATTTTCTCACAAATCGGGGGTGACGCCGGCTTCATCCAATCCATCAGCATCCAGGCCTACCATACTGACTGCCGCAGTTCGTTCACCTCAACAATACGGTACCAGCGTTGGATCGACAAATACACTGAGGTTTCAGAAAATTGCTACTTTGATTAACTCGCAAAACTAGTGTATTGGTACGCGCCTCCTTGAAGGGCTTCCCCCCGAAGCCGAGCTGGTCGAAGGGGATGTCGAACTCCAAGCTCTGGCCGTCCCTGCTCGCGGCCTTCGTGACCTGTTCCGTGTTCGATCGCCACCAAGACAACCACAATATATGAAGTAAATAGATAAGAGTTGGATGTCGGGAAGCGATGGACCGCCTTCGCGGGAAGTTAAATACTACAAGGAAATAGAACAGGGAGGGGGTACGCAAACCATATTCTCTAACCCTAACCCTCTAACCCAACTTCCCCGATTGTATGCTGCATCCAACATGTTTGTTTAACACGAAAAACCTGCCAAGGCTACACCGCAGCAAGGCCAGTCACACGAAAACCGCAGCGCACAGCAAAACGAGCGTAGGCGTTGTTGCTGCCGTGCTTGTAGCAGACACGCATACCTTGGAGGCGAAGTCTTTGAAGGCGTTGTTGCGGCGCTTGCGCATTCCCCTCTCGCGCTGCTCTTCCATCATCTCGTCCGGGTCGTAGTTGGACCGCTTCACGCCGTCGAGGTTAACCGTTGCGTCGATCGCCTCCGTCGACACCTTGAATTTTTGTCGTACAGCAGCAAAAACAACAACAACAACAACAACATCTTGATTGAGCGCCACACACAAACTTTGTGCGCCTGGTAGTATTCAACACCAACAGCGTGTCGAAATCGTGTCGAAAGGGCTATGCGACCTCCTACGCGTCATCCAAGAAAAGACACAGGGAAGTTCACCCGCCTCGAAAAGTTGCCGCAGATGCAACAGCACCAATTCCAGAAATTGTTGTCAACACTGCGACGTATTCCCGTGGAGGCCGAATGTTACAACACGACACAAACTGAGGGTTTCTCCCCGATACTTTTGACCACATGACGTACACAGCCTTAACCTTTTACCCGACAAAGAAGGTTCACGACAAAGAAAAATAAAAATGCGGCCATACAATACTTCTGGTACAACACCGAAAACCTCAACTCACACGTTTCCGCACAGAAACCCCGGCAACACACGCCACGGAGGACCCGTGCCTTTCCGACTACCCTCGCAACTCTTTTCTCTCACTTCGTTCTCTCAGTCTCCCCCCCCGCAAATTATGCCTGCGGCTACAGGCAGCTCCGTTTTAGAATTTCCCTTTCCAACGTCTCCTTCCCTACCCCACCCTACTTCCCTCTCGACCCGACCATACAATTGCCGCTGGATGCAACACGATGAATCGCATCCATCACTAGCGGTTGTTCGCACACACACAAACACACACGCAAGCACGCGAGGACGCAAAACGCACCTGAATCTCCTTGTGCGCCTTCTTGCCCACCATGATGGGGTGCTTAAGGCTAAAGTGCAAGATGACCTTGGTGTCGATCACCCCGTTGCACGGCTGGTAGAAGGCGTGCTTGATGTTGGCGTATAGGAAGTCCAGCGGCTGCTCAGTTTTCAAAACAAAAACGAGGAACAAATAAAAAAACGCAAAAAATGTTTACGGTATTCTCAGCCTGTTCTGCACTAATGTGAAAGGGGGAAATCGTCCTCGACAGACACACGTTGGGAAGATTCTGACTATGTACCCTGGCATCTCCACAATACGTATGTCCTTGAGCTATTCGATCCCAACAACATTGCGTGCGCTTGACAACCACCAACCACCACCCGCCGTGCGGCGGAGCCCCCTTCATACCTTCTTTCTCTGTCTCTCTCTCTTTGTCATCCTGTCTGTTTTTCTGTCTATCTCCCCTCCCCCTCCCCCCCACGCCCATCTCTCTCGCTTCCCGTCCATCTCTCACCGCGTGCTTCTGGGACGTGAAGCGCAGGCCGTTCGAGTGCGCCTCCAAGGACCCCACGGTCTTGCCGGCCAGCGTTGGCCGCATCGTCAGGTCCTGCAGCCGCGGCACACGCTGGTCCTTGCTCCGGATGAGCTTGGCCTGCGTCACCAGGTCCGCCTCTTCCACCTACAGCATTAAAGGGGCACGAAGGCGGGCATTGGGTAGCTGGAGATGGATGGACAGTCACACGACAGAGGCTGCACGGCTAAGTTGGTCACCTCGCAACCTCCTCTTTGTTGGGATAAGTGTCGCGGCGCAATCACCTCAGGGATTTATGTGCTCACGCCCTGGCTCAAAAATAGGGTGGAAAATGACGAGGGTGAGGAACGCCTGAACACTCGTGATGAAAATAAAGGCAGGCACCACAGAAGGAAGGAGCAAGGTGGGGGTACAAACAAGAACACAACACCTAAAGTGTGGCCTTCGTCCTGTTTGACCCCGGCGAATGAGGCCACAAAACACACCGAACGGTTGTAAATACTTGCGTCCGGAACAAGAGGGTACTGGGGCGACAGAAAAACGCGAACGCTAAAGCTTACCGCTTTCTGCTCGCGAGTGCGCAGGCGCTTCCTCAGCTCCTGGATCTGGCGGTAGACCTTGTCAAGGTTCTGCCGCTCCAAGCTGCGGTAGATGAGCTCCTTCACGAACGTCGCCGGATCCCTGAAGAAACCAAAAATAAAGACAAGAGAAAGAAAAGAAACAACACACGCATTAAATAGCGTGTCGGCGTTTTCTCGTCCGGTTGTGTCCTAGAGTAGGAGACTGGCCTCTTTTCATTGGACAGCCGGGTAGGTTAGCGCGGCAGATGCTAGCAACAAAGACACGCGCACGCACAGACCTACACACGCACACGGACAACCGATCACACCACTTGCGTATCCGTGCGAAAAACAGCGAGAACCAATCAGCCAAGAAAAGCGGCGGCGGTAATCCGACCGCAAGCATGATTCTTTCCCGTCAACCAGACCACCATTCGACCATAGATATGCCGCTGCTGGGTTGGTGGGAGGGAGGGACACACCAACAGGCAAAGATAGCGCCAACGCCGGGACCGCAAAACGCTATCAACGAGGAGGGAGAGGGTGGCGATTGCCGACGAAACGTCGCGATTGTAATCCTCCTCTCGGCTGGCTCACCCAGAGGTGTGCTTGTCCACGAGCTTGGCCATCGTCCGGGAAGCTTCCTTGCCGAGGGACTGGTGGCGACGTCACCGGTGGCACCGGTGGCCCATGTATGTGGCGGCGGTGACCACATGGCGTCGCCCATTTCGTCGTGTTGAAAAGATCCAACATTCGATGTCCCGACAACAACGCGGAGAAGACGGAGAGTGCGGGCGGGGCGGGGCGGGGCGGGGGGCAAAGTTCGGGTGAAAGTTAGCAGAAGCAAGGTATATTGTAGTAGCATGCCGAAAAGAAACGAGTGCGAGATCTATTGTTGTTTGGTATTTTTGGGAATGGTAAGGATGCATATGTATAGCCTAGACCATTTGTCGGGGTAAGTTTTTAATATTATTAGCACACGAGGACGACGGCGACGACAAGTCTCACCGCCCCCGAGGTGAAGAAGTTGATCCGCAGGTAGTGGCAGTGGTTGTCGGGGTCGGGCTGGGTGACGTTCTTGATCGTGTGGATCGACAGGGGCACCGGCTGTCCGTTGATGGGCGCGAACACCACCTCCTTCTCCATGTCCACGAACAGCTGGTTCGGCTGCACGCGCCGGGGGTAGTCTGCGGGGTCCTGCGGTGTTGTTGTTGTTGTTTGGTTGGGGGTGGCGCGGGGTGGCGCGCGCAGCGTGGTGCAATAATTAGCTGTCGCCGTATCAATGTTTGGCTGTAACGCTGGTGGTTGGCCATATAATTGCGTTGTTGTGGTTACCACACAAAGAGGAGCCAAAAAGAGACGCCTACTTTTAAGCGATAGACACGGAACAATATAACAGCAGTGTCACCGGACGTTCACGTGTGCTGGACACTGGACGCCGCTCGGCGTCGGCCGCGCTTCATGCCCCGCGCGCATACGAACGGGGTGGGCGCGCGTGGTGGTGGTTGTGACGCCCAAACACATGGCCGTGTTCTGAACGGGCGCGCGTGCGCAAGTCTGGACAGACTTGCGTCGAGGCTAAACGGACGATGCAGCAGAAGCCACACAACACGACCAGGTGCGCAGATACTGCCGCAACACGATTAGCCCTTAGCACTGCTCGCACCACACCTTGTAGGCGGCGAGCTCGTCCACCTCCTCGCCCCCCTCGTCGCCGGACCCGTCCTCGCCCCTCGCGCGCCGTTCCAGCGCCGCCGCCCTCTCCTTGGCCCTCTTCTTCAGCAGGGCCGACATGCGCCCTTCCCGCTGGCTGGTCAGCTCCTGCTGCTCTTCTCTGTCTCGAGGTTAACGTACGGTGGGAAGGTTCGGGTTTTTGTTTGGGTTAGAGAGCAGCACGAGGGCGCAAGTGCCGCCGGCTTGTCAACGCCTGTTGCTCCCTCTGTGCCCGAAGTGAGATAGGTTACCGTGGATAGGGGCATGGGACAGTGCAGCATACAGCAGCACGAGTGTTGGGCTAGTCCCGCTGGCTGGTGAGCTCTTGCTGCTTCTCTCTACCAGTGTCAGCGGTAGCGGTTAGGGTTTTTAAGGCTAGTCCCGTTGGATAATCAGCCCTTGCACCGTGAGGTGGTTCGCCCTTGCATTTTTTAACCTCTCGTACGTTGTGCGTACATGCACGACAACACGCCAATTTTTTTGTTCTTGTGGAAGACGACCGATTCGAATTGTTCGCACGAAAACTCTGCCTCCCACAGGGACCCCTACCAAAACTAAGACAACCACCCACCACCACGAAAAATGCTAGACACCGTCTCCCACCTGGTGTCAAGCATCTCTCCCCCTGTCCCCTCTCATTCATGTGAAACCACCAGCCACTGCCACCAAACAAATTAGACGCCGTCTCTCACACATGTAGAGACCTCTCCTACGCCAAAAAAAAAAAACGAGTCATCGTCGTCATCTCACATCTTCCCCTTGTCCCGCATGCGCCGCGTGTTAACCGCCCCGGGCAGCCTCCCGTCGTCCCCACCGTCCCCTCCGTCGCCCTTCTTCTTCCTCCTGCCGCCGCCTTCCCCATCCTCCCCGTCCTCGTCATCATCGTCGTCGTCTTCGTTTTCGTCGCTGCCCCCGTCGTCCCCCTTGAGGTTGTAGCAGATGTCCTTCCACTCCTTCGACTGCTTGGTTAGGACCTCCGCCCCGGTCTCCCTTACCACCACGGTGTCTGTCGCCGGTGGAAAGCCGTCGTCGTCCGAGTGTACACACGTCGTCGGATGTTTTTTCTCTCCGACTATGAGCTAACCAATCGACCCAGGCGCCGTGCATCTGCCTTGTCTGTTGGGACTGCACGTCAACCTATACCCGTGATGATCGTGAAGAGGTAGAGGCAGACACTGCTGGTGACAACAGACGAGACGCGTGAAGTACAACATCACCATCAAAAAAAAAAAAAAATGACAGCAACCTCAACAAGCCCGCACCTGCGATTATGACGGAGAAGGTTTCCATCTGGTAGGACGAGCCACCCTTCTTATCAGCCGTCGATAAAGGCACGTCCTGAAGGCCCACGCTCAGGTTGAACACCATGCCGTCTTTCATTCTGGATGGCGACAAAAAACAGCCACAACAAGCGAGATTGGAAAAGTGTGATACGAAGAAAAAAAAACAAGAGCAAAACAAAGTTGAAGGTATGCGTATGTAGCGTACCTTGATCGCTGTTCTTCTTTTCCTTCACTCTGAATGTACATTTCCATTCCAACCATACGGGTCATCAGCTGCTGCAAATCGCAAGAGGGTTTAGATCAAGCACCCCCGGGGTCGGAAAGCTTGAAGAGACTAACTAACAGCACCTTTTCTTCCTTTGACCGACATCCTCACGCGTGCAGCATTGCACAAAAAAAAGGTTTTAGCAACGGGGTGGATCACGCTCTACACACAAATTTATGGCGAAAAAGCAACAGATAGCGACCCCACCCTCCCGGCTCTACACAAAAATATATTGCAACGCAGCAGTAAAAGATGATGACCCCCCCCCCCCCCTGCCAACCAACCGCGGGTGCGCAAGGATTCCCTCACTTGGTTGAGTTCTTAGCGCTGATCACCATGGCCGACTCCCTGTAGTCCAGGCCCAAGGAAAACCCGAGCGTCTTCGGATACATACATAAGTAGCCATGTTGCCAAGAGCGGGGAGGGGGGAACAGAAATGCGTACACACACGTTTTGAATCGTTTGAATTTCACCAGCATGAAAAGTAAGTACAGAACCAGAACGCAACGCACACACAAGACGACGTGCAGCCGTACGTGATTGTGCCGAACTTAAAATTATTCACAGATGGTTCGCGAGAAAAACGACACCGACTTGTTCCACACGCCACCCTCCTGTATCTCTGAACAAGTTTCCCTGCTGGAACGGGACAGCCCCCCCGAAATGCGACATCGTGGATTGAGAGGGCAACTGCCCCGCCCCCCGCCCCCCTCCCCGCCCGCCGCCGACACCCCCCTACGAATAGGACAGGCGTGCCCCCCAATACAAGAAATATACAATCTATCGCTCTGATAACATGTGTGGGTGGGCATCCTTTGCCCGAGACTACCTCGCAAGCACAACAAGTCGGGCACGTACACATTTGTCTCTTGATGCATCCTAAACTTGCACCGAACTCTTGCGAGCCCC